AATATTCAGTGTGTGTGTCTAAACGCTCTCCTGCTCCTCCTCCGTCCCTCAGGAGCCACCTGGTCCCCGACTGCCTTTATAGTCGATGATGGAATACAAGGTGACGGCCTGAACTTGGGCTCCGTGGTGGTGGACGAGGAAGTGGGCTCAGTGATTCTGGTCTACTCCATCTGCTTCCACCTCTTCAACTGCCAACCATCAAGCACCATGATGGTGGAGAGCAGGGACGACGGCCTCAGCTGGAGCCAGCCCAGAAACCTCTCGGTCCAGCTTGGAGTGAAGAACTTCGCTCCGGGGCCTGGCTTCGGCATCCAGGTGAGAGAGAGCGTCATGTGAGAAGATGGTGGCTGCAGCTGGTTAGTTGTAAAGTGAGATAAAAGTTAAGCTAAATTGTTTTCCTTGTGATTATGAGTCATGCCTGTCACGTACCAGTGATGATTAGGTTTTAAAGTGAGATTTAAAGGCAGAAATCTCTGTGTGTTTGAAGTAACATTAAGTCACATAAACCTTATCTACCCCCTGCAGCGATATTAAAATCATCCTGTGCTATGTGTTCATAAAAATCTTAGCTCATACACCTTTGTTACAACAAAGTAGATAAAGCATTAGATATAACTGTGTTTTTAAATTTCACTGATCCTGAACACTGCTCACCTGGTATCAGACTGATCCTTATTAACAAAGGCATTTTTAACTTCATGAAACTTCACGAAAAGAACAAGTGTATTCCGTGCATTAATATCACAACATGATTTGGTTCTAGTTAAGAACTGAAACTATCTTAGTTCTAGTTTCGAGCTCGCCACATCCTCTGTAAAACTGGTCAGTATAACAGCATAACCTATAGTGGGCTGGCGAAACAATACAAACACCTTGTGAACACTTTGTTGGAAAAAAATAATTTAATTGACTGAAATTGGCTGAGAGTCTGAAGTAACTCAATCAATCAGTCTGCGTCTGTCTGTTTTAATGACAGTTAGCAGCATTTGTCAGCCATAAATGAGAATTTTGACGACCAGATTTGGTGTTCTGAGGCCAAGAGACCAAATAATTTGTGTCTACAGAATATTTGTGGAAACAAACACAGTGTACAATTTGACTGAGGTTGGCAGAATGTGCCATCCTCAGATGACCTGCACCACAAAGAGGAACAGTAGTCACAAGTTGAAACTAACAGGGTCATGATAAACACTGATTTTCAGTAAGTAGAGGATTAACAGATGCTTCTGTAGTCAGTATGATAGCTAAAAATAATAACAACAATAATAATAATAAAGATAATAATGCCAACTTTATTAAGAACACAGAACAGTACATAGCGTACTAAACCAAAAAAAAAAAAAACAGACGATGCATTTAAAAATACATTAAATAACGGGAAATACACAACTATACATCATGCAACTTTGCTTATAAAGGGCATAAATATAAATAATTATAATATGAAACACCCTTTTATAGCATTTGCAATTAAATTAAGTCTTTTATATGAAGTTTCTATGCTCTTTTTATCTCCTATTGTCTGATATTGACTCATAACATATATTGGTATTGAGTTACTGTATATAAAAGAAAATCAGTGCTCAATGTAAATAAAGTCCTTAACATCATAACAAAGAGTTACATTATACATCAGTTTGTTTCCATAGTTATCATGTCAACTTTACGTTGACCTGGAAAGTAAAAACACTTGTAATTTGTGTAATGATGTGCGCCTTGTTGAACTGCATTATATTAATAGAATAAATTGGACGTTGAGCTTTTTGTTTTCAGCCACTTTAAACGAGCACGTTGAATGCATTAGAGACTGACAGCAGTGCATCTGAAATGTGTGCTGCAGCAGAATCATAATATGATTAGAGGGTTTTTGTATTTGTGCAAATGAGTTGCTTAACCCTGTCCACATTCTGAGTGGAGCATCTGTATGGCTGTTAGGAGTTATTATGTTTCTGCTGATGTCTGACAGTTTTAGGACACTAAACCCTCTGTTGGACTGCAGCAGATCAGGCACTATGGATAATAATTATTATTGTTTGTTGAATTATTCTAGCATATGGTGCTAACAGTGTGTCATTCTTACTTTGTAATGTTGATTTTAAATTTTACGTAGTTTCTATCTTTATTTTAATTGTTATTTTTCATACACCTACTTTTGTACTTTATTTGCCACATGGATTTCCCGTCTGAAAATCAGTAAAGGTTTATCTTATTTTCAGAGTTCGATTTAGTTTGTGTTTTAGAATCAAGTTTGCATCTTTGTTTTTTGTATGCTCAGTGCACATGTTTTGTGTCTCTGCACTACAGAAACGTTTCGAACCAGCTAAGGGGAGGTTGGTGGTGTGTGGCCATGGGACACTGGAGGGAAATGGAGTTTTCTGCATCCTCAGTGATGACCACGGACTTAACTGGCGCAACGGTGCTGCGCTAAAAAGCATCCCTTACAACCAGAAGAAGAGAGCACAGGACTTCGACCCTGATGAGTGCCAGGTATGTTGGCTGCTTTTTGTTAATCGCACCATGGTGGTCACAACTCACAGTAGAGACATTTAACGGTGCTGTGTCACATTTCAACACAGTAGAGTATCATTGTTAAATCAAGAGGTTTGCTGTCAGCTTGGGTTGTGGAGCTCTTCTGCCCTCTAGTGACCAAAAGAAGTGCAGCTGTAAAATGTATATTGAAACTAGCAGCAATCTTAAAGAGAAACTTTGGTATTTTTTAACCTGGATCCTATTTTCCCACGTTTTTGTGTCTATGTGACTGTTGGAGACAGATTTTGAATTTGGTCCAGTCAGACTGCTGCAGCCGGCAGCCACGAAACAGGCTGCAATGTAACCACGTGGGGCATGCCAGCACAGTCAATTTATGTCTACTAAAAGTGTTTGTTTTTGCCACTGATAGGCTCAGATTGTTATTCTTAGTGTCTGACAACATTACGGAAAGCATCCCTACAAAGATAAACCCTTTCATCTTGTTTAACCAGAAACAGCCCTGAAATTGCCATTGCAGAACGCACCAGACTCTGTTCAGAAAGACTGCATATATTCAGATCATACTGGGTGAATTAAGGGTTTATTTCAACCAAACCAGAGTCTGTCATTGTTGGAACAGTGGGAAGACGAACCAGTACCATTTTTGTGAATTTTATTTTGATCCTGTCGACTTTGAATGATAAAATTACTATTTATTTAAATGTAGTCTGGTCAGTTTGGCAATTGCAATTTCAAGGTTTGCAGGTTAAACAAAAGGATCTTACTCTTCAACAAAAAAGTCTATCTCTGTAGGGATCCTTTTCAGAATGTTGTCAGACATTTATAAAGCCTGTCAGTGGCAAAAACAAGCACTGTTAGAGGACGTCAATTGACCAAGGTGTTGCCGAACATACGACACTGTCAAGCCAAACCCTTTCTGCTCCTCTGCAGCCGGTTGAGATGACAGACGGCAGCATCGTCATCAACGTGCGGAACCAGAACAACTACCACTGTCGGTGTCGCATTATTGTACGCAGCCACGACGGTGGAGAGACCCTGCCCATAGATGATCTGTTCTTTGACTACGAGCTGGTGGATCCTGCAGTAGCAGCTGGAGCTCTGCAGAAAGA